ATCAGGGTCACAAAAAGCAATCACATGATTATCATTTAATATCCTTTAAATTTTGCCTTATTTTAATACTCAAGGAAGCCTGTGTTGTTATTTTCTTATTTCATGGATGAGGAAATAAAATTCTCATAACAGCAATCGGTATCAGATTTTAATTGGGCATATTGACTCCAATGTTAATTATCTCCAACAGTTAGCTGCATTTAATGAATGCCAGAAATTAAAATATTTTATGGAGATTCTTTTAATAGATTTCTGTGTCTACATCAAAATGCATTTTAAAATTACATTAGAATACCAAAGACTTATAACATCTTTCATATGAAGATTATTATCTTTAGATTATTGCAATCATGAAGTGATAAAAAACATAAAACTAAGACTAATTTATATTTATTCTCAGCACTCTAATAAATTATTGTGTCTACTTATCTATCTTCTATCAGTTTGAAATCTCTCATACTGTTTGACACTCATTAAAAAAATTCTGATTGAGGACAGTACATTTTGTCATTTCCATTAAATAACATGACACCAAAACTAGAGTTTAAATAATTCTAGATCTTTAGTTAAACACATTAATAAGCAGAGGCCAGTATGCTTTTTTTTTTTTCCTAATTTATTTTGAGTGAGAGTATGCACAAGAATGTAAGGCAAATAATGGCTCTCTTCGTTCTTCCTCATCATCACTTGTACTTCCCCCTGAAAAGAAGAGTCTGAGGCCAATAAAAGCAAAATAAATAGGAAAGCACCACATTCACTCTGTGGATTTCACCTCCCTTCTCTGACAGTGTTTCTGACTCAGGAAAACGATCACTGGGGACCATTTATTATTAGCCAGAGCTAACAATGACTTGGCAGGACAGAAGGTCATCTTTCATTGCTTCTTAATCCATCGAGATAATGTTCATTCTTTTTGCATTTCACCTCATTTTGTATTATGGCATTCTCAAAATTGGGCAGTCATACACCTATATTGAAATACCTTGACCTCTGTAGCTGCCTAAACCAAAAAGCCTAGGATTTTTCTGGTTACATTGGGGGATTATGATTTGACCTTGTCCTGAGAGTGAACACCTTTTCAGAGGCATTTGACATTTGTTTAATTATAACGCTCTTGCATTGTAATGGGATTAATGACTTCCCTAAATTTTCTCCTTGTTCTTTATGTAGTTATTATAAACTGTTCCTGAATGAATGTCATGGTTTTAAATAAAAATTTGAGCAATCTTGCATCAAGACCATATTACACACAGGAGAGGCATTGACATGTCTACAGAAATGGTCAAATAACCAACTGAAAGTACTAATATAGAGGGCTTTTTCCCTTCAAAGAAGAAAGTTAAAGACAATAGAGCATTAATTTCCTACTTGTAATGCCTTGAATCTTTTAAATTAAACTTTCCAGTCTTCTACAAATAGTCCTTGGCTGGGAAGTGCAGTTGGAGGGAATGAGTCAGACATCACCTCAGGAAAGATATCTTTGTGAAATCTAAATTGGTAACATGTTATTAATCAGTTGAAGGGGAGACTGCATGGTCATCATTTCCTGGCTAAAGTATAAGACAGATGGGCACACTCTGTGCAGTCTTCAGAGGATCTTCTGAAAGCTCATTGCCAAGGGCAATAATATTAGTGCTGTAATCCATTCCTCAAGGGGAGTGCAACACAACAATAAAGTGGCAGAGAGGTATCTAGGTTTTCTTTGAATTGGAATCATGAAATACCATCTCTTTCCACTTGGAGCAAAGACTATAGGTCTAGATAGACCTGTACTAAGTTAGCTGTACTGCATGGAGAGGCCTCTAAAAACATACTTACTAGCGGATTTAAATGGGAGTGAAACCCCCAATTTAGTTGATGATGTTCTACAGAAAAGGAAATTTGTTTAAGAAAGTCTATGTCTTTACTCTGAGGTATAAAGACTTTCATCACGCATTCTTTTTACCATCTTGAATGAAAGCTGGGTGGACCCGCCATTTTGTATAGGATTCTCTTCATCTGTGTAAAGCTGAAGTACAGAAAAATAAAATACTGAACATGTGTTCAGAGCTATACAATTAGGTATACTATATTATACTATGCTATACTATACTATACTATACTATACTATACTATACTATACTATACTATACTATACTATCTCTACTATACTAATTTGTCACAAAAAAGAGACTAAACTTCCTGAAATGTTGTTCATTTTCTCCCATCAGAGGGTCATACTTCAAATTTTTTAACTTTTTTTTCTTAAGTAAATCAAGTGCATCCACTTGCAAGTATATATCTTCATCTTCAGAGTGACCTCCTTAAGAAATGTCAGACAGAGTATATTCGCTCACATGCTTTTCTGATCCTTGAGTGGTATGTTTTTTTTTTTTATAAAAGAATTAACACACTTAACAGAGTTTAGAATAATACTTTCGTGCATGCAGCAGCATAGATCATATTCATCCACTTTTCTCCTCACTGTAGCACCATTCCCAATTCTTAGTGGTATTCATCCTGCTCAGATTGAAGTTTCATTTCATCAAAATAAGAACAGTTAATACTCGACTGTTGTAACAAAATAGTCTCCTATTTCACTCACTTGGCTGCAAATAGTGGAGCTTCATTTCTCTTTATGTCTGAGTAGTCCTTTATGTCTCAAAAAGAATGAGATGCAAAATACTAAGCAGAACTTTTTCCTGTGAGTGGGCCCTGATTGCTGTTCCTGACTCTAGTCTTTGAGATAGACATTCATATTTTTTTCTCAAGGGTGGCTAATTTCTTCATAGATTATAGTTTAATGTTAATGCTTTAATCTACATCTTGCTGAAAGCACACAGATAACCAGAGCTAGAGCAATTTCTGATACTGCTTTTTTAATCTGGTCTATTGGGACAAGCATCACCCACTTCACATCGATGCCTTAGACTGGGCTTGTTGGTCATGTTTGTTCAGGTAGAGAGCTTTCAGCACTGAACTCTGCAGACAAGTCTAACCCAGCTTCTGTCCTTTCCATGTAGGTTCCAGAATTTTCTCTTTATTCATTTACATGGCCTGCAGAAAGAATAGAATATCCACATGCATACATCACATGGACATACTCCTCTGAGGGGAAATAAAATATTTTCAATAATAACTTTATAGCTTTTCATATCAAAATGGCTCTAACATTTAATGTAAATTTTAATTTAAAAATTCTCATTCCACATTTGTTTCCAGATAATGCCTTTTAGGAGAAATAAACATCTCTCAAAATGACTTTAAACATTAGGCATTTAGCTTGTTTTAATGACTTGGCTTATACCTAGTTCCAATCTTCTGTAGCTTCTATTGATTTAGATAAGATAAAGGGAGTAAGAATTTGATAGGGAAGAAGCTCAAATTTGTTTTTAATCAGTTCGTTTGAAGAGTTTTACCTCTGTGATTGCTTTAAGATTTAAAATTGGACACCTGTTCCCCTAAGGACTAGAGAAGCACTCTGGTGGTATGACTGTAATGTGACCCACATGTATCATTCAAACCCTCTGACTAAACAAATTCTAAAAGTAAGAAGGGAAATATTCAACTTAATTTTAATAGTATCTAACGAATCCGATATCTCATTCAGAGTTCAAATAAGATATAAAAGATAAAAATGCAAATCAACAGATGCAGATTTTCAATATTTACAGAAATTACTGTCATCTCAGACCAGCTGCCTAATAAATGAGTCAAACAAACAAACATCATTGGCCTTTTAAAAGAAAGCTCATGACATTGAGGAATATGTAACCTTTAGGAGGTGGTAAAACCTTCATCTCAAATTTGCTTCTCTCTAAATTAACTGTACATTCATAATTGTCTTCATTATTAAGGCTTGGATATATTATATGATATGTATGTAAGTGTATGTGTGTATATGTATATATTTATGTATGTGTACAATGAAGCTATTGAAAACTGAATAAAGCTGTAAACTTCTCACACTTAAAAAATTCAGTTATTTATGACATGAGCCATATCTGGTTGACACAATTGTTTAACTTCAATGCCAAATGCCAGTTATAAACATAGCTTGGAGATGGTAATTATAGATGGACTTCCTGTTAGTTGCTACAGCTCACTTCATAAATTCTTAAATATGCAAAAACTCAGTCTTCCTAAACTTAAATGAATACCTGGCTGAAGGTTCTCAGTCCACATTGACAGTAATTAAAGAAGCACAATCAGACTCTGATCATTTTCTGACAGCAGTGGCAGTATCTCTCTCAGGGTAAATGCCTCCTTTTTTTTTTTTTAAGTGACTGATTTTGTAGTGATTCCAGTTTTTCCTTTATTTCAATAAAAAAGTTATTTCATATGGTAGTTATTAACAAGCCTCTTTCAGGCCTCAGAAATGAAGAACCAGCTTGCCTCCATCTTGGGCTTCAAAGCCATCTTACCATAAAGACAAACGAGGCTCATTTCTGTTGATGATTAAACTTGTTTCTCAAGGGCTGAGCTCTACCCCACCTGTAACATTAACTAGAAATGGTTCCATACTTCCTGTCTCAGGAAACCATGCCTTTCTTTCAAAACCATCTTGCATCCCTACCTTTATTTCAAAAGGTTGTTCTGACTCCCTGTGTTTGACTACTTTATGACCATCTTAAGTCATGGCTTTGTTTCAAGATGTCATTATGACTAGCTTGTTATTCGTTCCTGTAACCCTTCTTATTTTTCCAGCCAAATCCCCCATTTAGAAACCTCCTAGCTAGCCCTGAGCTATAATTTCCTTGTCTTCCTCACACCAAGTGCTGACCTTTGAAACCTCACTTTAGGGGGAGGCAGCCCATGTATACAAATAAAAAAGCCTGCTTTCATTAATAGCTGGCTCTAATTAATTTGGTAATGATAATTTGGTTGGGTGGTCTTCTCCCATCTTTGGGATTGACATAAGCTTCCTACATTTTTGTTATGGAAGTAAAAAGTTTAGGTACTGGTATGGCTTTAATTTGATACTTCTTCAAGTTTTTAAAATTCATGTTCTGTTTCCATAGAAATACACAAAGAAAAGGCTGAAAAGCAGGAGAAATCTGAGAAGAAAATACAAACTAAAGGTACAAGTTTCATTTCCTGCTGTGTCTCCTCTTCCTTTTATAGCTTCTCAAGCTCCCATTACCCTTTCTCCTCTCTTCTCCTTTTCCTCTTCTTCCTCCCCTTCACCCTCCTTGCAAAGAGGTACAATGTTATTTTTGGTACATTCATATGGGGAAAAAATGTCCGTGATTAAGAATTTTTACTTTTAATTTTTCTGATACTATTCACATCAATATTTTCCTGTACAGTTAATTTCAGGTATAAGTGTGTAACCTTTAATGATAAAAATTAAGATAACTTCAAAATTGGTGAAAATCTTTACTTAACATTTTTTTTCTTAATAAATAGTGTTATGAATGTTACTTAGCTTATCAAATATGTGCTCTTTTTCATCACTTCCTATATTGATTCAGAATTCACACTGTAAAACAACTTTGGCTGGACTCCGTGGCACATGCCTCAGCACTGAGTGAGGATGAGGAAGGCAATTCTCTGTGAGGCCAGTCCGATCTACAAAGATAGTCCATGACAGATAAGGTTAAAAAATAAATAAATAAAACCACACATAAATTTTGTGTATCATTGAATGCCTTTATAATCATTCATGCAGACATGTAAAGTCATTAGATTATGTCACTGTCTAGCCTCCTGTTCTCTTCACAGACTCAAGAGGTAGATAGGATGTTAGCAACGTAATAAATTAAATAGTCCTTTCAGCCAGTCTGAATCAAGGAACTCCAATCATTCAGTAGAAGCATTTTAGTATAGGCAATACTACCTTGCCATCTGAAAACTGTCATTTTTCTGTGGGTGATCCAGGAAGCCAGAAAACCTTAAATAAACTTATAGCAAGCAGTGGCATTCAATAGGCACAAATTTCTAAACATGACCAGGTTTTGAAAATGGGCAGATGTACATAATTTTGGATGTTCTAGAGGTTAAAAAAAAATTCTCACCATCACTGTATTTATGGTATACAGAAAGAAAGAAATAAAATAATTTTCCTTAAATAAAAACTAAATGTTAGAAAAGCTGAGTATGGTGCCAAGTAGAAGACTGATTGCAAAGCATGCACAGAAATCTGACTTTGAGTACAACCACCTCCCATGTGCAAGTATTTCTTTTAAAAAGAAATACAGTATGAATTTCTTATATTAAAAATTAGCTGATATACACTGAGCTGCCATGGGCTACTTCTCTGAAAGGGTTCTGAGTTATCTCCACGCACAGTCATTGTTTGAAGTATCAGTCTCAGAAAAGACCCCTGTGTCCAGATTTTTTGGTTCTGTTGCTCTCCTTGTGGAGATCCTGTTCCCTCCAGGTCTTTCTATCTCTCCCTTCTTTCATAAGATTCCCTGCACTCTGCCCAAAGTTTGATTATGAGTCTCAGCATATGCTTTTTTACCTTGCTGGGTATAGTCTTTTAGAGGCCCTCTGTGGTAGGTTCCTGTCCTGTTCCTGTCTTCTTCCTCTTCCAATGTCCATCCTGGTTTCCATTTCTGAGTGAGGATTGATCATTTTACCCAGGGTCCTCCTTCTTGCTTAGCTTCTTTAGGTGTACATATTTTAGTGTTTATCCAATATTATATGTTTAATATTTATATATATGGATATTATATACCATATATATACCATGAGTGTATATATACCATGAGTGAGTTTACACCATGTGTGTCTTTCTGCTTCTGGGTTACCTCATGCAGGATGATCTTTTCTAGTTCCCACCATTTGCTTGCAAGTTTCATGATTTTCTTGTTTTTAATTGCTGAGTAGTATTCCATTTTGTAAATGTAACACAACTTCTATATCCATTCCTCAGTTGAGGGACATCTGGGTTATTTCCAGATTCTGGCTATTACAAATAAAGCTGCTATGAACATGCCAGAAAGCCCTATTAGCTTATGATAGCTTGTTTGTCTATGTTGAGATATCACAGTATTATTTGAGCACTGGGGGCCCTGAAGGAACTGATACCCCAACCAAGGACAATGCATGGAGAGTACCTTAAACCTCGGCTCAGATGTAGCCCATAGACTCAGTCTCCAACTGGGTTCCAGAGAGCAGGGCTTTCTCTGGCATGAACTCAGTGACAGGCTCTCTGATGATCTCCCCCAAGGGAGGAAGACAATGCAAGAGTCCTGAGGAGATCTGATAGGCTAGGGTCAGATAGAAGAGAGGAGGACCTCCCCTATCAGTGGAATAGGGAATGGGCATAGAGGGAGGTTGGGTGGGATTGGGAGTAGATGCGGAGGGGCCACCCACAGCAGGGCTACAAATCGAATAAATTGTAATAAATGATAATAAATAAATAAATAAATATACTTCATGTAAAATTTTTGTGATGAACGTAAGTAATCCTTTAGCTATTAAATATATAAACATAATCTTTGTATTCTGGATTGGGCAGCCAAAACTTACACAATCAAAACACTAATGCCTATTCACCTGAGATTAGTGTATGCTTGTATTTAGGGGCTAATGTCTTCTTACTGCCTATTTTGCCTTTTTGGTTCTTAACTATTTTGGCCAGGAAAATTGACACTGCTCTTGGGCAGAGATTGATGAAGAAACCCATGACTGAACTGGCTGCTGCTCTCTCCATGAATTTAAAGAGGAACTCAACTGGTTCCACTTGGCCCAGGTCTCCTCAGCTCTATTGTGCAGGCTCCATTGTAATTTTATAGCAAGGCTGCTGGAGTGGGCATGGTAATGCATATAGGAAGGTTTGCATTTTGGACCTAGCTCTCAGAATCCTGCGGTTAAAGTCTTTATGCAGTGGACTGTGGAGTAGGGTTATTAAACCAGTGAGTCCCCTGTAATTAAGACAGTGGATTTGGCTGAAGTTTAAATTAAATTTCTCAAAGGCTGTGCTAGAGATTAGTCACTTGAATGTATTTCTTTTTTTAAATTTATTCATTTATTTTATTAATTACAGTTTATTCATTTTGTATCCCAGTGAGTAGACCAAATGTATCTGAGTAAAACAAATAATTCTGAGAGAGTAATAGACAGTCAGAGATAGGTAGATGATATATAGATAGGTACATAGGTAGATAGATAGATAGATAGATAGATAGATAGATAGATAGATAGATAAGGATTGATAGGTAGATTGGTAAGTATGTATGTATTTTTGTAAGTAGGTAGGTAGGCAGACAGACAGACAAACAGACAGACAGATAGGTAAAGCCCAATGAGACTTTAGTGTTTCAATCTACTTTTTTACCCCCTGTGAGAACATGAGTGGAATACTTCATTTGCTTTCTGATTTCTTGTCTGTCATTGTTCCTTCTGTTGCCTGCCCCCCTTTAAAAGAACAAAACTTCTGATTCACACAAAGACTTTAATAATACATGATGAATTTACGCCTGGAATATTTACTCATTAATAGTGCCTATTTTTTGTTCCACAATATTTTATACTGACAATAAGTTTTATAATTACATTTTCATGAACACTTTTATACCTGTTTATATACATAATATGTAAAGGAAATGTTCTCTAAGTTACATTCCAGTCTGGCTATGGGTAAAAGTGATGGCTAGTCATGGTTTACATTATCATTAAAACAACTGTAACTCTTACAAGAAAGTGTACGTCTAAGATATGATTACTTGTGATCACTTATAAATAACAATCTTATAAACAAATATCTTAGTTTTAAATTTTTCAATATACTGAAGTTGAGTTATTTTTGTGGACAGATAACAGTTTTGATGATAATTAAAACTAAGCCATACATTATTTCCGTTTCTTTTCTTCTGTTTTTTTCTTTTTCTCCTTCTTTCCCTCCTTCTGATGTCTGCTCCCTTTAAATATCAAAACTTCCTCTAACTCACATGAAGAATTTTAAATGATATATGATGAATTTATGCCTGAAATATTTACTATTGAAAGAAACACAGAAAAGTAAACAATTCAGAATGCCATAGAGCACAGATTTCTAAAACAATTTATTCAAATAAGTTACGTGGTAAATACTAGAAGGACACAGAATCAGTTTCAATTCGGACTACTAACCATACAAAAGAAGATTGTTTATAATTTTGATGCTAAATGATTTAACTTTTTAATACGATAACTCTTCTATTTTGCCCTTTGTTTATTTTGACACCTTTCATTGGGAAGAAGGCTAAGACAGTTTCATAGGGTTAAGGAGTTAGCCTGGTAATGTGAATCCATTATGACTTTAAGCATAAACTCTGACTTGTTAGTTAACATTTGCCTTCACACTAAATTAACCTTGGTAATATTTTCCCATAAGAAAGGAGAAATTTATTTTGTAATTATAATCAGAATAATGTATGTGCTTGTGACCTTGTGTCAAGTTTGTGTAGGCAGTAACACAGTTGATCATTACATTTGCTTGGAAGAAACCCAACTATCACGTAGCTCTCACTGAATTACTAAATGTTATTAGCTCAAATATCAGTCATATAAATGGCCTTTCTTTCGTGAATGTATACAATGAGTTCACCACAACAGGATAGTTATAGGTTCTGAGCAGTAAGATTTAGCACAAGTTTACAGGAAGAATTTTCTTTTCTTGTGAGGGTAACAGTTCGTAATAAAAGCTTTCATAGGTCTTGAAAAACAGCTTTAATGGACAGCCTAAGATTTTATAATATGTACTTGTAAAACTAAAAAGGACTAATAAATATGGAGATGAAGATGAGCAAAGAGTCTTGAACCCTTAGCTCATGAGTGTTTCAGGTGAAAAGATGTCCATTGTGGAAGTTAGGCAGACAACACATCAGATGACAGAAACTGACCAGTCTCCTGATCGATAATAAATACACTATCTAATGTGTTGGCTGCTACTTGATCGGCATATGACCACATGCTGAAGGGATTTGAAATATGTCACTGATCTACCTGAAATGCCATGTCATCTGTATACTTATAATTCTTTTAGAAGTGATCCGCTAATCGGCATTAGCCATTTTCTCATTGTTGTGGCTCATGGTTAGACTCAAGATAAGATAAGACAAGCATGGTACTCAGTAAAGATAAGAAAGGC